TTGTTTTGAAATTTCAATAATATACTATAACTATTTCCATAGGTGAAACTATAAAATTTCATTAAGACGGGCCCAAATGATAAATAAGAAAAAAAATTCCAATTATAAAATAAGTTTTAATTTAAATTTTATTAAGTTATTATGTTATCCAGTATGCAGTATAAGGTCACATTTTACTTTACACAATTGACATACCAATATTTAGATTAATTTTTAATTTTTACCTATTATATACTTGAACCCATTCTCCTCGGGTGCGACTCGTTTGCGCACATTTACCTTTTTTACGGCACGTTTGCGCACAAAATCACAACTCGTTTGCGCACACATATTTTGGGTTTAAATTATAAAGGTACAACTCATTTGCGCACATTTCACTTTGAGCAGAACAGCACATTTCTCTTCTCACTTTAATATAGGCTTAGGACCATCTGTTTTGTACAGATTAAAAATGTGCATGTCGTGTTCTGAATAAATATATAATTATACAATTAATAAGAAGTAATAGTGGTTCTATGCGTGTTTTTAATTTTTAAAATTTTATATTTTTTTATTATTAACTAACCTTACTACATCACTCAAGGAACATTTTTTATTCGTACACCTAAAATGTGTATCACTAGATTTTAAAGTTCGAAATTCTCTTTCAAAAATATCACAAATAAAATTTCGATATCCATAGTCACTAGTCAGTAGGTAGTACCGCTTTCTGGAGAACGACTGCTTAAAAATATTATGTTTAATACACGTCGATTATTTTCAATGATGATAATGATATATTGAATATTGATATGCTGATGTACTGATAATCAATTACTTAAGTTAGTCCAAATTTAAAAATATAAAATATATGTTATGCAGTGTTTATGTTGTGCGCAAACGAGTCGTCCGTTTTTAGGTTAACGACGGTATTCGTTGTGCGCAAACGAGTCATCGATATCTAGGTAAACAATTTGGATTGTGCGCAAACGAGTTGCACCGATTCTCCTCACTGTTCCACGGTAAGGTGGTAGGTATTGATTCAAAAGTTAATAACAATAATCATAATTATTATAATATGATACAAACACCCATACACTATTATAATAATTACATATTAAACATAGTCCTAAGCCTAACATCCCCATGACCACCTTGTTAACATTTTGCAAAATCTTATATGGGGTTATTTTTTCCTTGGTTATTTATTCGGGGTTCTTTTTTTTCGGGGACCAAATTTTCGAGGTTATTTTTTCGCTGTACCATTGTTATCATGCATTTGGATGTGAATCACGGGCAGAATATTCGGCACTGCGTTTTGGATTACGGATTTAGGTACCACGCTCGATTCGTTAAATTGTTATCTTGCCTAACGGAAGAGCGTTTCGTTTTGCAGGCATTTGTTGTCGTCGCAATTAGGATGTCATCGCTTATCGGCATAATAGTCTCTATAATAAATACCTATTTTATCGTTTTCCGTACCTTAACCGAAATCGTAATAATATTATACTTTTTCGTCGATTTAAAAACGAACGTAGTAATAATGTCGGTCTTGGAGTATGACCTCGTCGGCCGCCGAACAATGGGCGAACTTTGTCCGATCCGAATAGGCAGACCGTCGCCGCCGTCATCATCGAACAGAGGGTGGTGGTGCTGTCCTGTTCGCGCGCAGGTGCCCGCCAGCATGAGTATACTCTGCCGAGTGTGATTCCTCTTGCGGGCAGCAGCTGAGTCCGTCGTCCGCGCCGATGATTAAAAACGGTTTTTCTTTTTGCTGACTGGACAATTATTATTATTATTATTATATCAATGTAATTCGTCGGTCGATTTTTAAGGTACGTGAATTCGGGATATAATCTTATATTGTTTAATATTGTTTATTGTTTATTACGGAAAAAAATCCAATTACATTTTAAATATAAGATAGTAATAGACTGTAGTGATTATGCCCTATGGTATACGAAATGATCGCGAGCTGAAAATATTGGGACACTACAGTTAAAACAACTATAGGATGTAGATTTTATGTTGCTCAATCATTCAGAATTCAGACTGTATGCTTAAGTAAAGAATGTAAATCTAATACTTCTGAATAAGATAAATATATTTTAGTACCATTTTGAAATCCAGAAGAAGTAGGTAACAGAGGGACTTTGTAAGTGATAGATGCCACAGAACAATAAATTAACAACATTTTCCGATTTTATTTTTGACACTTATATTTGTGACGATGCAATTCCCTTCCCCCGCCACCGCATAATTTTATGTATTTGAAAAAAAAAATTAGCTAATAAACGTTATATTTTCGTATATTTTTATGCTATACATTTATGATCTAATCTCCCGGTAGTAAAATGTAAATAAATATTTTATACGAGGCAGGCAGATAAATAGTGGCCCAATTACCGACAGCCCAAAATAATATGTTCAACGGTCAGATGGTACATTACTACAGTGATTTATATACTTACAAGTGTCCATTTGTTTTTACTGCTATAATAATTGATTCAAAAGTAACAAAACTAATTTTTAATTTTTCTGTAAAAGGACTCCAATATATTGGCGTTACACGCACAGGTTAGGTACGCACAAGATTAGTGAGTTAGCTGAAATCCGCTTTTGGCTCCGATCGGGTTCCGATTTCGCCTCGAAAACAATAATAATTATTATTATTATTATTGATGTGTGTCATAACACACGGGTTTTGTAACAACCCAACGGTGTAGTTTTTGGTGTAGAGTCCGAACGTAAATATTATTATTTATTTATTTATATATATATATTACTGTATTTATATTTTTTATCTTTACAAGACTGTCCGTGAACAGCAGCGAATTCGTCGTGTTTATAATACGTGATCACGGCGGCGGCGTCCGCGCTCGAGGACAAGGACATATTGTTATTAAACATGTTCTTTTCGGAAATATTATATATTATATTATTACGCGCGTTCTATCGTAATCTCGTGTCATTGAATACCGGAGTATATTTTTTTTTATTATTATTTATCAGCTGCTATCGACAAAGGGACGTTTTTGTTTTGATTATTAGTGGAAAAAAAATAAAATATAAACCACTTAGATCGCTGCCAAAACTCTGTTAGCGCACAGTGCAGATATCCTACATCGCGTAACCCGACACGATGCCGATATCTGCGTGTACCTCGACGTATGTATATGTTACCTTGAACGAATACGTTGATTACTGATTAGTGTATGAAGTATGAGGTATCGGTTTTCCGTGTTGATTTCATAGTTATTACATATTTAATAATATAATACCCAACGTGTAATAATTGTTATATATTAATAATTGTATTACCACGACTCGCTGATTTACGGTTAAATCCTTTCCTTTTGGTTTTCTCGGGAATTCGGTGTGCACGGTTTTTATCGAGAGCTGCGGCGGCGTTTGTCACATACGATCACGTACGATTGAACACCGTTCTTGAGCATGTTTGAAGTCAGAGATCACGTTTGTTGTTGTGGTTTCAAAATTATTCACAATTTGTTACTGGCCGTTCGTTTGGGAGATTCTACACGTGGTCGGTTGACCATGAGTTTTGAATGTTATGGTGTATATAATATCATTATTTACGTTAACTTGTATTACTGTATTTTGTCACATAACTACCATACACAAGTGTATAATATACCAACATTACTGCATTGGAATATAATACAATATTGTCGTGTACATTAAATAAAATATTTAAGATTTATAAACGTAAAACACGAACACGAGTCTAAGAAAACATTGTTCTCTGCAGCGAGTGTCGTCGTTCAAGATGCAATTACATCGTTTTGTATTTCTGTATACCTACCTACCTTTATATTATTATTAGTTAACCCGCCGCAACTTAAGCCATTGGGTGGTTTTTTAAACTGTGGGGGAGGAGAGTACGGTAAGGTGAAACTGAGTGTTGTTTTTGGCAGATTTTCAAGTGGCCACTCGTAGGTATCTATCATGCCCGGGTGGGGGATGGTGACACTTGTTCTCCGGACATCGTGACTTGCCCGAAGAAAAATGCCACCCGCGGCCGAGGTATCGAACTAGCGCCAGTGCTCGTCGCAACTGATACCTTAGTCCGCTCGGCCACTCCGTCCCTCTTTATATTATTATGTATACGTTTATTCGATATTTCGTGCCGCAGTCGTTTTAAAATGTTGACTTAGAACTGCTAAATCTACTCGGCATGTCAACGGAACAAAAAACTACACCTATATTAGATTATTGGGTATAGCTAGTGCAGTACGTGGTTATGCGTGGGTTCCATTTCGCCCGGGACCTATACCTATTATTTATTATACGTCGCAAAAACGGGCACAGCCCGTCAAAAACGTTCCGCCCACGACGCGCGACTTGGAAAAATTATGTTGACCATTGCAATAAAGTTGAATATAATTCGAGTGTTCCTCGGTGGGGTACGCCCTCCTCGTCTTAAGCAAAATTGACATTCTCCTCTCCCCGTCGATTTACTGTGTTACCACATCGGGTGTTAAATAAGACTGAGTACTGGGAGTAGTGATAATAACAAAGTACCTAATGTCATAGAAAACTGCGTGCCCCTTCCTCCTCTCCCCTGGCCCCTTCTATTACCGTCTGACAAGTCTTTAATAACGTATTATGATGCTCGGCGCCAAGGCTGAACGTGTCGCCCGGTGAAAACATAGGCCACGGCCCCAAGGTCGCAATCTCAGAATAGTGAGACACGTACCATCGAGTCGGCTGTCTTGTTGGGTGTTGGCCAGTTCGCGTCGGACAGTGATCAGTTGTGCCTCTGGTCTTTCAATCAATTTCTCTCTCATACACAAAAATTCTTTCTCTCCCCCCCCCCTCCTCTGGCTCTCTCAGTCACTCCAAGTATCTTTCCCGTCTTATATACATATTATATTATGCATGTAATATATATATATTATTTAAGTCGTGACCCCATCGACCGTTGATCACACTCATTCGGGCCCGATAAAACTAATCGCACAATGCAGCTTTATGATCTTCATACTTTATTCTCCTCACAGCTCGACCATGTACCAGAGGAGTAACGGCGGTGGCCTACAGTATTCGGCTTCCATGCCACATTACTTCACGTCCTCGCCTGAGCTCAACCAACAGCAGACTAACAACATCATCACATCCGTGGCCGGCAATCAAATGTGGTCTACAGGTAAGCCAACGACAGTTGTTACATTTCTACCTAATGCACACTCATCTTCTATACTTACCACCTTATAATTCCGTTTGAAATTCGCTGTAACTTGAACCATTTTCTCTTGTTTTTTCCGTGCTGCAGTAGTGTCCGAAGACGGTACTGGAGGATATTCTCCGACTTCGACAAGCAAACAGCAGCAGTCCAACCACAACGGCGGTGGCCTGCCAGCTTTCACTCAGCGTTTCGGCACGTCGTCAACGTCCGCGTACACAGCCGCCGGCTCGTCCCGGTCAGCCCCTTCGTCGTATCACCCGATCGCCACGTCCGGCGTAACCCCTTATCACCTGACCGCCACAGCCGTCAACAACGGTGGTCCGGCGGACACTTCGTCGCTCCAGTGGGCGGCCGCCGCAGTGGCCGGATCGCACGGTTACTCGAACACCGACGGCACCATAAACTACGCTCCGATGCCGATCAACCAGTCGGGCAGGAGCCGATCAAACGCATTCTCAGCTGCCGCTTCACTGTCAGCTCGTAAGTACAATATATAATATTAGTAGGTATATTTTTATAGACATTTGTAAGTGACGATCGATACCACGTCCCGGCCCTCACAAAATAATTTAAAACGTTTTCAGGAAATCATTGGGGAAATTTAATACAATATGTTATATATTTATCAGGCGAGTCGTATTTTTGAATTTATCATCCGCTGGCGCAGAATTATCGATTGTCGTTAAAATATGTCTGCGTGGACTTGCAAAACCTTAATTAATTAAATATTTATATATATATATATTATATATTTATTTATGATGTGTGCGCATGTGTGTGGCGTGTGCGTATCGCGGTATATACCAAAAGATGTATACCATACTACGCGTGTGCCGCGCGGTCTGGACCCAGGTCGGTTACGACCCAACATAGTATGGAAAAAACCAATAATAATAGTCATATAGAATAGTTCGTCGTCGAATCCCTGTGGCGTGGTGACCGATTAATAGGGTAGGTGTTTTTTTCTCGGGGCGCGCGCGCTAAACTGCCCACCCAAAGCGACCGGAACCCTTTGCGGGCTTGCCCGTCGTGTGTACACATATTTTAATAATAATACAAAAACAATGTGTGCGTCCTCCGAGGACCGAAGAAGGAACCGTCTCAGTTTACATCGCACGCCACGATACAATAATAATAATAATATCTGTTTGCCATTAATTAAACGCCCATTTAGGGGACACCGGTCTGCTGCCGTCTGGTGCTCACACCACACACATACATACGAGACCCCGTGCTTACATGTTATTATCGTGTACGGCGATGGTGGTCGTATCGTACAAGTAACACGTGTTCGCGAACTCTCCGTTTGCCCTTCGCCTTTTTTTTAATATCAATACAACACTATATATATTAATATTATAATACTTTGTAAATACTCGTAAATATTGATTATACGCTCCTCGCACACACGCACACAACCCGATCATGGGGGTGGATGTCGTGCGTGCCAATATATTATGCGACGTGTGTGTCTTTCCCGTCTTCTTGTCCAAATATCGTGCATCCCTTGTCTTTGATTAATGTTCGCCGGCTGGTGATAAAAACGTGTGTTCGAGGTCGGGTAAACCTGACCCAACCAAAACCACCACCGTCGCCGCCGCTACTTAAATACCCGGCTGGGCAGACCGTCTTTTGCAGCTCTATTATACATAATATATAACTTAAAAGTATATAAATAGGTATATAAGTACTATTTTTGTTTTAATTTGATCGTATACAGATTCCATACATAAATCTACACGCACGTTTCCGAATCTGACAGATATACTTAATATTTATATACGCTACAATTACGTCGTTGTATTCATATTTTCTTAATAAATTTACTAGTTGACAGAAAAAAAAATTAAAAAAATACCAGCTCTTAACAAACCGATCGCCTGTTGACAGTATTTATTTTTTAACCTATTGATGCAAGATTGACTCGTCAGGATTTATCTTTTCATATTATAATCAAATGAACTGTAGTGTACAAATACATATTATAATATACATGTTGACGTCGTTTAGTCTCATTTATATACTAAACGCAGCACGACAGTATAATATACGGCAATGTTTACTCAGAATGATATTGTTTTTCGAATTTTAAATCTAATAGTGTACCCGGTTGTGATGGTGTTTGTCACTAACGAAATCGTTAACGTTTCCAGTATTGTAAAGTGCTCTAGATATTCAACGATCGGTGCCGTTTCCTCGCAGTCGGTCGTGTTCACTAATTTTATTATTTGATTACTCTCTTTTCAATATACGATAATCCATATAAATATAATAACAAGCGGACCATAAATATTAACAAAAAAAACAAAAACTAGGTTAAGTCACCGTTTTGTTATCATCGTATTTAATGTACGCGTTTTCCGTTAATTTTTTTATTTTGTATTTTTTCCACACCGTATTATCACGAATTGTGTCGCTCCCTCGATAACCATTATACACCAGAGCCCGAATTACACGCGGAAAACGGAAGCTCGTTATCAGTAACAGCCATGTTGGAAACGAAAAATTATTCATGCACCGAGTAGGATCAATAGCCTCCACACTATACAGTAAATGCCCTTCTAAAATAACACATAATATAGTGTGTAAGTACTATATAATTGTTACGATCGTATTAAAACGCACACAAAAAAAATGTGTATATATTATGTTATATTATATATACACAGTTAGTTATTTTTTCTTACGTGTGTTAATCGCAATTGCGTGCCATTTTTAATTGTTGTAGTACTAATCGAACGTGGCTAATGTCACGTATAGTGATTCGTACTCACATATCAGGCTCGCCTGACCGGCTTGTGTTGTACAAAAGACTGTCAAAAATTAATTTATATTAAATGTAGGTAAATTAGGTATATAATTTTGATTATTTGCAAAAAATATTAATTCCGTAAATAGCGATGGTGGTGTCGATTTTTCAAAAATGCATGGAAATTTCTAAAAAAAAAATTATTATTATTTTAGTGTTATATTATTTTCAAGTCATTTACGGTGGCCCTCGTTTTGAGTTTTTTTGTTTTTCCCTCTTTATTGACACCATCACCGCCCGTCTATTTGTGTCTATACACATGTTGCCCTTAGATAACTCCGTAGGACGACCGACGGGTGACGGGTAGTTGACGGTCCTTCTCGATTGTAATCAATCCACCGATACGATATTGCTGTTTATCGGTTCACCGCCAGCGAAGGGTCGTGTCACGAGCTATTCAGGACGATTGTTGACGTTGACACGGCTTGTTGACCTCGGTGGGCGGTGGTGTATATGACACGGTTGGGGTGGGACGAGGGACAGTAAAATAATATCGGGCCTTAAATATTAAATCCTCTAATAAACCTTTTTTTTTGCCCTTTTTAATATTTGCCTTCGGACCACCTCATCAAATATTTATCGAATCACCCACTCGCTAATGTGTGCGTCCGTTGCGGCGCTAAAACCCCTCTGCAAGTGTGATGAAGACGACACTCTGGGATATCGATTAGCATATATTTATTCGGAACACATATGTTGGTTTTAAGTTTACGACCGTTTCTCCAAAACCACGTTATTTCGTGTTTTTTTCTCTGCCGTATTTTATTTTAAGTTCGATACATCATATATGTATATTATGTTATGTAAGCCATAAAAACAAAACATGATTAGATGTTTCATACACAAAAATACAACCTTTAGTATTCTACCTTCTCGTTTAAAATACCGATTCATCTCTAGTCTTTACTTACACGAAATGTGATTGTTGCGATTGTAAGGTAGTGCAACAACGTATATTATGTGAATCAAATAAACAATAAATTAATTAAAAACAAGCTCCCGTTTGTCTGTATCCAACGCATCGTCGTCCGTATGTATATTATGCGGCCTTTATATGGGGTGGGAGTAGCCATCGTTAAACGGGTAAACTCTCCCTGACAACCCCAAGCGTAATAGGCGTCGCGAATATGTATACTGGACACAACTAGGCACGCCTTCTCCCCTTATCGTACACCACCACCCCTCACAATAGTACCTATACAATAAATAGAGGGTGAATTCGATTGCTGCAGACGTGTTGACATCGTGTCGTGTTTTGTTTGTGTATGCGCATTTATATTATATATAAATAATAATATATTATACAGTCGACGAGATGGAAATGATTTGCGAGGGTCGCGAGTGCGTGAATTGCGGAGCGGTTTCCACACCCTTGTGGAGGCGTGACGGCACCGGTCATTACTTGTGCAACGCGTGTGGACTTTACAACAAGATGAACGGCATGAACAGGCCTTTAGTAAAACAACCCAAACGGCTGGTTAGTGATGACAAAAAGAAAATCCTCTGCGGTTGTGTGCGCGCGTGTACGTCTGTGTATAATAATGATGTTAATATAGTTTAGACCTATAGTAGTCTACGATGATGTATTGTAGTGTATGCTTACGTATTATACACTTGCGTGACATGCGGCCACCTCCGTAAGATTATCTACTATATGCATGTATGAGCTTTTGTTCGCTATTATTATTTGTTGTCTGCCTTGGTGCGTTCGAATATACAAAGAATTATAGATGCGTAGGCATAACCTATAACATAAACAAAAATACCTATAATAGCTTGTAATTACCGGATCGTGTACCTACAGCTCTCCAGGTAAGTGTTTCTAACAGCGTTTCTGGTCAGCTTCTCTCCCCTCCCTATTGAAACGAGAGCCCTTGTAGAAATACACCAGGTAACCAGCCGTTTTATTGAACTATTTTTACATTTTTATTTAATTTTTTTTTTTTTTGCCATACATCTCATTACCTTCCACCCGATCGGTCGTCGTCTTTCAAATTTGATACCGTTTAAAAAGAAAGAAAATTTAGTAAGAGTAAATTGTAACATAGTTTATTTGTTTGTTGTTGTTCTAGTGGCTTCCGGCCCAAGCTCGTCCGGTTCTGGAGATTTCTATAAGGGTCCTCTGTATCATCATGTGCCTGCCAGTTTTGCAAGATCATCCGGAGCCGGCGGATTAGAAGAGAAAACCACAAGAAGAATGGTACGTATTTTAAAACACAATAAATGTACAGTATTTACTATTTAGTATCTTTTAAGATTATATTATGATATCGGTCGGCGGTGTTGTATATAATACCAGTGGTGTAGAAATGTACACTTTTAAATTTTAATCATAATAAAGTTTCACTAACCCGTAACACGTGCTATTATTAATAATAAAATTCACCGGCTTACATTATCACGTCTTTAAAAACATTTGTATAGATTATGACGTTATTATGACCGTTTTCTAATCTGTCACAACACAGATACGCGGGGTTATTAATCTTCGTGTTCATTCATAAACAAAACTAGAAATCGCGCCTGGCTCTTCCGGTCTGGGTTCCCCGATGGCTAGACGCTTTGTGCTGCATGTTTTGAATTCTCCCAACTAAGCCATATTATAATTACTAGCTCAAAAAATCTGCTGTGTTATTCGTACGTAAGGCTAACGGTAAACATTTTTTTAAATTTTTTTTTAGCAAAATGCATCTAGGCGTCAAGGATTGCAGTGCACAAACTGTCAAACGGCTACCACGTCGTTGTGGCGCAGAAATCAAGTGGGTGAGCCTGTGTGTAACGCATGCGGTCTGTACTTTAAGTTACACGGTGTTAAGAGACCACTTACGATGAAAAAGGATTCTATCCAGGTGATTATTATTTTTTATTTTTAATAGGCATACGACTATATTCAAACCCACTTTCGCATCTTATTACACTCAAATTAATCTCGCTCTGTTTATTTATGCGTTATCTTATGTTGAATTCTATACTCAGGAGCTCGAACCACAAAATACATACCTGCATAATTTTCTTTTATCCATACAATATTTTAAAATTTATTTTTGATTTTCAGACACGGAAGCGCAAGCCCAAAGGTGGATCCAAAATAGAACCGGAACCTAAGAGAATTAAACAAGAAATACGTAAGTTGAATATTATTTTATTAATTGTTATTAATTGTCACTATGTTATGAAATATGATTGTATAAAAGACGAACTTGTATTGAATATTTAATTTTAATTATAAATCCATGGTCATTAAAAGTTATACAGTTATTACTAATCAACAGATAATACCACGCAATAATGACTATAAAATATGATAGCGACAAAATTTACTATTTATTATTAAACAGCACTACCAGTAGTACATAATGTAGTATGTACTCAATAAATAATGATAGGTTATTATTATTATTACAACTTCTACTAATCTATTACTACTACTACTACTAGTATATAGGTACTAAAAAGGCTCTTTTTATACTGGTTATTCACAGTGCACTGTTAGATGATAATGCATGATTATAAAAATATGTTATTAATATGAGTTCAGGTACTCAAGTTTTGATTTTTTTTATTGAATATAATTCAAATTTCATATGTAGGTACTTTTAGTTCTTTAATCCCCTTAATTTTTGTAATGAAAATTTTGATTAGCTGTATTTTCTTTACTTATTGCTATTCTTATATGACTTGTATTTCTAAGTACCTTGTAAATTATTAACTTTAGGTTATACATTAATGTAAAATACTGATTATGCATATTTTTCTTTTAGCATCTGAACATAACTATAGTGACTGTCACCGCACATCCGGTAGTGTTTTGAATCATGGCAGTGCTAGTTCGGGTCTTGCGTATACCAACTTGTACCAAACAGCCACACATATGACACCTGCTTACTATGACGTCCTTAAGTCAGAGTCATCGCAAGAGTCTATCAACAGTCCACATATAGTAAGCCTTGCATCTGCTAACAACAACAATAACAACAACAACAACAATAATAACATAAACACTGGCAACAAAGATAGGCCTAGTGTTCTAACCATGTCAGTTAATTCCTAAAAATTAATATATTTCTCCTTGACTATTCTTTAGTGTTATCAACCTTATTTGGTGATTTCAATATTATTATAATAACTATTTATCGTTAACGAACAAATGAAAAAATTATTATGTTTTATTTATATTATTATCATTTACATTATTTAACTAAATACAATATTTTATAATTTATATAGTACATACATTACTGATTGAAATGTAGGCAATTTTCAAAGACATTATTTTAGGAGATACTATTTTCAAAAAGCAAAGACTGCATATTATATATTTATATTATGTTCAAGAAACAAAATTTATGAAAATTAAATTTATAATAAGCTCATATAAGTAATTTTATTTAATCACAAGTACAATATTTTATTTTATTTTTGTTCTAGTTGAATCTCTTTATATAAAACACTGATTTGTTAAGTAGCATTTACTGTATTGTACATTCTTATACTTGTAAGTCCTTAATTTATTGTACATAATATATGATGTACTTAATTTGTTAATATTAATATCAGTTGCTTGAAACATATTATTTTTGTTTTTAAGTCATCGTTTAAGATCAATTAGAGATTGTGATTAGAAAAATTGTTGAAATATTTTGATTAGTTAATAGTTTAATCGAAAAAAAATATTTACTGAATCCAAAAATTATAGCATGTTAATTTCGAAATATTTGTCATCATTATTATTATAATAGATATATTTGTTGTTGTAAAATTGTAATTATTTAGTCATAGTTCCGAGCAACGTAAATAGTAATTTAAACATGTGTGATCAATCGATTTATTTTTACACCAAAAAATGTTTAAAACTATATAAAATTAATTAAATAAAAATTGCTGGTTCATTAAAACAAATTATAGTATTTAAATTGTATGCATTTTAAGTCATTTAAATCACCTTAATACATAAGTAGGTAAATATTTTGTCGACATTATTTTGAGTGATAAAACATTTACATAATATTGTAAGCAAAATAAATCTCAATATGTTATTAATAATGTGACTATGAAATTATTGCTTTGATTTCAAAATCTTTTTTTACTTTTCACTTTTATAGATCCTTGTCATTGTTATGCTATGTAAAATTATTTTGTTATTATTTAAATTGATAAAAACACGTCAGCAAACAAATAACAAATTCAATTAATTAAATGTATGAATTGGATAATATCTTTAAATCGATAACGGGTGGCTGTAATATAATTGTTCAAATCATTTACCAAATATTGAATATTATGATATGTGTAGAGCTCACAATAAATTAGTGTCGATAAAAATCTAGTAATACATCGGACGGTTATAAACGTATATTACGTCGTCGCAATCAATATAATATTGTTGTCAACTCGATTAACAGATGTGCGGCGGCGGTCGTTTAATCGAAATAAAAAAGATAAAGGAAAGAAATCGCCTTTTCTTGTGTACACAGCCGACTATGACGAATAATAGAATTTTATTGTCGGCGTGGTCGGTACTTTCATAGCTGTACCTATTCAAAATCATTTATTTCGTATGATAACCGGTCGTCGTAAGGATCAATAATAAAAATAATAATTTTTTGTGATTTTACCGTGTCTGGCAGAGTGAATTTTAATTTCGACGGACTTACTTCCGAACAGCATCATCGCGGTCGTCCATGTAATCGTACGAACCCAAAGTGCGATGACAGTACCTACGTACCCTCGTTAGCAGATTCCAAGAGTACGTTGCATACTTGTATGGTAAGTTGTTAGTAGTAGGTATAATCGTTGGTTGCAACTACCTAAATTTTCAATTGTTTGGCAATTATTTTTAAAATTTTTTCGGATTCGTACGGTACACAAAATTATGCCTAAAAAAAATATACATACATATGACTTCGGATGTACACTTCCCGCAAATTAAACGCTGCCCCCCCCTTTAAAATCGACTTATAACTAGATGCCAATAACTGATCACTGATGCAAGTTTAAATATTGTTGGTCATTTGATTGTACAAATTTGATTAAAAACAACAATTTTTTAAAAAAAATAACTCAAAGGGATTAGATATTACAATACAACAGTCATAACATTATTGAAAACAATATAATAAATCATACATTCATTTGTTAACAGCCATATAACTTAAATTTTTATTTGATATTATTATAAAATAATATATTGGAAATTTGGAAATATAATATCATAATTGCCACATACTATATTTATCGTAGTATATATGTGACAATATATTAACTATTCCATATAAGTTTAATTCTATTTAACTCTTTTAAAAGATCAGCCTCTTTCCCCTCACTCCCCCCCCAAAAAAAAATGTGTGAATACAGTACGCCCGGCGTTAACGACCAAACCTTAAAAACTTGATTATATATAAATTGATGGTTTTTTGAGTCCTTGAATAAAAAATGTCTCATACTCGTAATTTGTAAATCATTAGCTCTGTCTGGACGGCGCTGGTGGACATTAGTCGTGTCGTCGTAATACTATACACCAGACGGCCAATTATTAGTTTCGATCTAAATGGTTAAAATATTTTCGGATTCTTATCGAAAACCTCTGAATTTCGTTCCACTGCAGTATACGCTTGCGGGCTACGGCAGACGGTTTTTTATACAGTATTGTGACGTAGGTAGGTAGGTAGGTAAGTACTCAAATAAACGCTTTTCTGGTCACTGAACAGTGTAGTAATGTAAATAATTATCTAAATTACGATCCAATGTTGTTTTAAGTATAATATCGGTTTTCGTTGCCTACTGTTAGAATATTGTTCATTCTGTGTGCTACATAATATATTGATTAATGGTATTTGATATTTTGGTATGTACTATACATTATTATAATACCATTATTATGTATCAATGATATACGAAGATAATAATATGATAATATAGCCTGTATGAGTATTGACACCTAATTCGCATTCGTCATAACTATTTGTATATATATGCTGCGAGAGACTATAAGCCAAAGTGCATTATTTTCTGTTTTCCTCATAATATTCCAAATTAATTTGTATTTTTACATAAATAATTTATCATTTTTTATTCGGATGCACTAAACACTGTTCTACGCGTTTCCGATATCTCAGTTGATTATTTAGAACGTCCTACGATTTTGTTTGGTAAATGCGGTGGGCATGATTATATATGAATACAAGTAATCAATGGCGGATAGACTTCCTCTCGCACTCGTCTGCTTTTGTATGTCGCATGTTATAGTAATATGTAATAATATTATATTAGTTAATATTTTTCCATTTTATACATTTTGACAAAAACTTTTCTACTTTGATATTCTTTTATATAATAATAATAAATATGATCACCTGCTGGCAGGGCCGTCCCGAAGGGGGGTTTTAGGGGGTGTCCCACCCCCCTGAGCGTATATTATGTATATGTCAGTTGGCACATTGATACCTACATTAAGTATTTGAGTTGGGCAGTTGGCACTCGGCAAATTATAATTTTTTTGTACAGTTTTTTAATAATTTTGTATATACTACTAAGTCCAAATATATCATAATAATATATTGTAATTTATAATAATATGAAGGTACTATAAGTTAATTTTCCGATTGCCAACTGTCCAACACAGTTAAAACTATTATAATATTTTAGACTTTACCTATCAATGTATCATATATAATATTATTACAGTATACAAATTTGCCTATACATATTCGAATAATCACAGAATATATGAAATTTCATAATATATTATATTCTGTCGTATAATCATTGAATTATTTTTAATAAAGCTGTAATGATAACTGATAAGGAATTGTGCGCTGATTTTAAAAACCATCATCGTAAAAGATTAGCTCCTAAACGATATGATTGTAATGCCACAACCCAAGCTGAATTCACAATGCATCTATTTTATAGAAAAGAATTTAAAATGGTTCTAGATACCCTATTAAAACTAACGAATGATAATTTAAAATCATGTATTTATTCTATTCAACCATTATTTACATTATTTACTCAACCATTTAATAAAAGCAATATTTCATTTCTTTGTTCCCACCAAGCAGTGTAGGTGCTTACCTTCTAGATTATGATTAGGTTCAAACAGAATTAGAAATATTATTTAGTATGTTACAAGAAGATAGAACATTACCATTTAATTCTTTAATGGAAAAAGCAGAAGAAGTAAAGCATATTTTACCATGTGCTAATCAGATATGTCGTTTAGCATTGACTTCTCTTGTAACAGTCGCATCAAACGAAAGATCTTTTAGTAAACTAAAATTGATTAAAACACATCTTAATTCTTAGGTCAACAATTTCTGATGAGAGATTAAACTCTTTAATTGTATTGGGAGTAGAAAAAGATATTGTTGACCTATTGGATATAAATAAAATAGCACATCAATGGTCAATTTTAAAAACCGACGTATATAAATTTAGTGTTAAGTTTATTATAATATATTGTTGTTGATATACATAATAAAATATTTAATATTGTGCAACATTTGTCTACTGACTACTATGCATGTAGTCTGCAGGTAGGAGGTAATTGTCGAGCGAAGCGAGAAAATTTTTTTTTTGAGTTGGCAAATTATGAATCAAACCAACCCCCCCATGATTTGTCTTTCGGGACGGCCCTGCCTGCTGGTGACATATTTGAGTACAAATTTCAGAGGGAAAATTGTTTTTTTTTTTAATGTTATGTAAGTTGTATATTTATATCCAGGTACCATCACGATCATTTAGAAAAAACGCTATCATGGGTGGGAGGAATGCCCATGTTGTGTACCTCAAATACACCTCTGGTAAACACTGGATAGTGTATATAATATTATAATAAAATATTGTTATTAATATATCTTTTATATTTATTTAAAGCAATAAAATTGTGATATAGTAACTGTATTAACTAATCATATTTAGATATAGTCGTATAGGTACCTATATAATCTTCGGTGATTTGAAAAATTAATAATAAAACTTGATTTGTTCCCATTCATTTTTCGTCAGATATCATATCGTAAGATATTTTCAATGTATAATTTCATATCTCAT